CGTCTGTCGTCGTGGTGAAGGGGCTGGGCGAGGGAAAGAGCGTCCTCAGCCCAGCGCTCGTTTCAGGGGGAGGCGTGGGAGCCTCAACAGCCCTATGCACGACGTGAGGGGTACCTGCATGCACAAATCTTGCTCCAGGAATAGGAGCTGTGAGGTCATGTTCATCAAGAAGAAAGTCCAAGGCGGAGGATGTCATGGGTGTGGTGGACATGTCGGCGAAGGGGAAAAAGGACTCGTCAAAAATGACATGTCTAGAGATGAGAATGCGATTCGACTGGAGCTCGAGACACCGATAGCCTTTGTGGTCCGAGGAATAGCCGAGGAAAACACAGAGGGAGGAACGGGGTGCAAGTTTGTGGGGTGCTGTGGAGGACATGTTGGGGTAGCAAGCACACCCAAAAACTTTGAGATGTTCATAGGAGGGCTGAGTGGAATATAGGGAGGCGTACGGTGTCGAAAAGGCAAGAGTTTTGGTAGGGAGCCGGTTGACTAGGTAGGTGGCGGTGTGAAGTGCCTCAACCCAGTAGACCGGAGGAAGGCTTGCCTGAAATAAAAGAGAACGCAAAATGTCATTTATAGTGCGAAGAGAGCGTTCGGCCTTGCCATTTTGCTGAGAAGTATATGGACACGACATGCAGAGTGCGACGCCGTGGGAGAGGAAGAACGTGCGGGCAGGAGAATTATCAAATTCTCGGCCATTGTCGCACTGGACACTCTTGATGGTGGGGCCGAACTGTGTTTGCACGTAAGCAAAAAAAATTGACAAAGTGGAAAATGTCTCGGATTTGAAGCGGAGTGGAAAGGTCCAAATGTAGTGTGAGCAACATCTAAAATAACAAGATAATATTTGTACCCCGACACACTAACAATGGGAGATGTCCAGAGATCACAGTGTATCAAATCAAAATTATGACGAGCTCTAGAGCTAGATGATCCAAAAGGAAGTCATGTGTGACGACCAAGTTGACACGCATGACAAACATGATGGTCATCTTTATTACACGAGATAACACCGGAGCTAATGAGCTTGGACAAAGCTTCACGCCCAAGATGCCCGAGACGACGATGCCAAAGCGAGGTAGGTGCAGCGATGAGTGCGGAGGTGCTGGTGGTAGATGGGTAGAACGGGTAGAGGTCACCAGAGCTATTGCACCTGGCGATCACGTTCCTGGTTTGCAAATCCTTCATAGAAAGGCCAAACGGATCAAATTCAATGGAACAATTATTGTCGGTGGTGAAACGACGAACAGAAATAAGATTTTTAATAATGTGAGGGGACACCAAAACATCGTTAAGGACAAGGTTACGATGTGGAAAAGAAAAGTGTGTGATCCGGTGGCTGTGACAGGAAGAAGTGCGCCATTGCCAACAATGATAGATGAAGGTGTAAACGATGATGGCAAGGAAGTGACGGAGAGATTACCAGCGTCCGCAGTCATGTGTGAACCGGCACCAGAGTCGGCGTACCATTCAAACGATGCCGGCGGAGTGAGCGTCATGGTGTTGAAGGACTGCGCCAGGGAGTCTGCGTTCTAGGTGCCTCCATGTGTGGGGTTCCAGGGCATCCCTCCGGGCATCTGATAGGCCGGCATGGGCCCCTGGAACGCCGGCGGCGAGGGCGCAGGTCCCCCGTAGGCGTGCTGCGGTGGCGGTGCAGCGTAGCCGGTCCCGTAGGTATGCCCGCCCGGAACGCCGTACTGAGGAACAGCGGTGAACACCGGCGGCGGTGGTGGTGGACGCCCGTAGGGCCACATCTGCAGCGTGTCGGCCCACGGGTGCGCGAAGGAGGGGTGCACACCGTGAGCATAGAAGACTTCATCCTCGAGAACGTGCCGTGTGAGGGCATATTTGCCAAGCACGGTGAGGAAGATGCCACGCCATTTGGTGTAGGAGTCTGTGGCCTTGTCGAGGACGACGGGGATCAGGGCCTTCACGTTGACGACGGCGGTGGCCTGCGCCCAGAGGGCTTCATGGGCCTACTCGTACTCGTCGAGGGTGGCGGCGCGGAGGCGTGCCTCCTCCTCACAGCGCGCTGTCTTGGCTTCAGCAGCCAGGCGTCGGTCTTCAGCTTCCTTGGCGGCACGGTCCTGCGCGTCCTTGGCGGCGGCTGCAGCAGAGTCGTCGTCAGCCGCCATCAGGATCGGCCTGGGCGGGACCATGCGCGAGTGGACCGCGCGACGGACCTCGGGCCGCGGCCGCACGAGGGAAACGGCGCCCTGCGAACCGCACCGTGCGAACGGCCCTGCGTGAACGCGAGGACGGGGCGTCCACGGGGATCCTCGCGCGACGGACGCGATGGATCTCGGAAAGACGGGTGGATCGGACCTGCGACGGCGCCCTACGAACGGAGTCTGCAGCGGGCGGGCGATCGGATCGGAGGTAGGGCCGGGCGATGGGATCGACAGCATGCCGGGCGATGACTTCAGCGGTAGGGCGTCGATCGGATCAGCGACGGGCTAGGGTTGCGGAAGAGTAGCGGATCGTAACCGCGATTGATACCATGAACACTACACCATGACCCACTTTAACCTACACTTAGGTGTTGGTAAATCTAGGGTTTGAACAACACATTTTATGTTGGCAATTGTGTCATCTTTTAGCGTCATATAAACTGTCGCCAAAAGTACCCTAAGGCTACACCTTATATGTCGGCATTTCGCCTCCCAACGATAAAAGTGTCGGCGAAAGTTATAGACAAAAAAATTGTCGTTGTAGCCTAATGCATCCACTCTCAAAGTGTCGTTAAAAGGGGTAGGCGCACAACCGAGTAGATGTTAAATACTGCCGCGGGAGATTGAGCGAGCTAAATATTGAGCCCAATAAAAACAAGCAACAAGTGAGGCCCAATCCTCCTGGCCCACCCACAGTCCACGCCGGCGAAGCCCTTGCTCCAACCCAGCGTACCTCTCACGCCCGCCCAAGCCGTCGCTCGGCCGCATGCCGTCGAAGGCCGACGGAGACAGCGCCACCCAACCATCACCGCCCAGCCGCGGTGCCCAGCTTCCATCCACCCTAGCCCGACGTCGCCCCAAACATCCCGCCACCCCTAGGCCACGGCCCCAGACCCCACCGCCCAAGGGACGGCGCCGCTGTAGCCCCTCCGTCGCCCACTCCTCGCCGCCCCTAGCCCACCGTCGCCCCAAACATCCCACCACCCCAGCTCATGGCCCTAGACCCCGCCGCCCAAGGGGCTGACGCCGGCCGCATGACCCTAGGCCACCAGCCGTGAGCAAGAGGGCTACCACCGCCGCTGCATCCGTTTTCCCCTCCGCATCCAGGTGCATCACCTCGGCATCCCTTTCCTTCCATCCCATTCCCCCATGTGCTAGGGTTTGGGAGGCATCCTTTCCTTCCATCCGATTCCCCTGTGTGCTAGGGTTTGGGGACAACTAATTTCTTGTACTTTTTTCTTGGTGGCGCGAAAGGACGAGACAAATGTGAGAAAGGACTGAAAGATTCAAGGTTTGTGTTGCTTCTCTTGACAAACTTTCATTCAATCTAGATCCACATCTCTTCCCCTCTATGGAGAAGGAACCCGATTTAGATGCGATGTTTACTTCTTTAGTTGATTTTTTTGCGGAGGAATCATTTGGATTCAATATCTTGTACACATCACAATCCATCACTTGCATGTAAGTTTTGTTGTGCCGGATCTGCAACTTATTTCAAGTATTAAGACAAAATTCACACTAATGGCAATTCATAGTCATTTTACTTTAGTCCTTTATGCGAAAAACATGATGTGACTGTTCTATATAAAAGAGAGAGAAGGGAATCAATTGAACTTTAAGCTGCAAGTGCAAGTATACGTTAGTCTTGGAACTATTGAAATGCATACATGTGTCCTCGTTGCAAAAAGACCAGTTCTGAGTTTTTCTTTCTTTCTTGTGCATGTTGATTAATATCCAATAAGGAAGCACTAAAGGATTCAACTCTTCAATTTTTCTTTGTACACAAGTCGTCACGAACTGTAGATTGGAAGTAAGTTTTCTTGTGCTCAGGTTTTCGCCTTATCTGTATGGCCTTGTGTGATTAATTAGCGTTGATAATATTATCTACAGGGAGCACATGCAAGTTGGCCTTCTAGTCTTCATCTGCTCTTCTACTGTCATTGCTTGATTGGTATGCTCTCCTTTTCTTATGAACTTTGTCTCTCCATTTGGCATAGAATTGCAGGTTGTGTGTGATCTGTGATGTGATGATTTTGGTTTCTAAAAACTAGACTAAATTTCCCCTATAGATCGTGTTGATGGCTAGTGGTGAGACGATTTTTTAGCATCAAGTGTGGTGAAATTGATTTAATTTTTTAGCATCAAGTGTGCTGATCTTGCCATGCATGTGCTCTCTTGTTTATCTTCTCTCTATGCGATTTGTTTGTACATATTGCCAAGTTTGTCCCATTTTCTTATCAAGTTTAGTCAGTGATAAGATGGGGAATATATGCATGCTTTCTGCGGAACTTATTGTATTGAAGGATGTATTTGACATTGAACGTTACTTGTACTGGTAACTGACTGCTGGCATTGTTTTGAAAGAATGCTTGTATATTCTCAATAGGTGGACTCTTCAGCTTAGCGATACCAAACAAGTTTGAATTATGAGTTTACAACAGCCTAATAAATCAAAGAATTGATAAGACCACCTTATATCCTGTTCAGTCTCCCAGCTTCTCATTCAGTCACCAAAGTTCACAATGAACTACCTGTACATTGGGTGTAAAATACTATTTCACTTCATATGTTCAAGAATGGTTTTCTGACATTGCCATTTGGTTGACCTTTTTAGACTGACAATGCCACCAGTCCAGACGAACAAAAAAAAGGTTGTTCTAAGAAAAACACCAATCTTGGACAGTGAACATTGCATCCTCTTTTTAGATTACATGATTTTTTGTACTCGCTTGCTTCATCTCTTTTAAAGCGGGCATCATCTTGAATAGTGTTTCAGCCGTAACAGTGTTTTATAATCCGTACTTTTCGGCTTGTCTTTTTCACCCTTCAATGCATATTAGCCAGGAGAAGTTTGAAGTTATCACCTCTGAATGTTCCTTTAAGTAAGTGCTTATTATACCTTGTGCTTTCAACTGCAGAAAGAGTTTTCCTAGTTACTTGCAGGAGGGTATGCTTGAGGCCATCTCAATTCAGGCATTGGCTCAGGTAAGTTCACCTGTTATACTTTTTTTTTTTGATATTATGGTGCTGAATTTGTAATTTGCTTGTACTGTCCAACTGCACAAAACAGTGTTGTCTTCTCAATGTGAAAAGGCAACATTGTCAGTAAAGAGGAGACTAGACTGTGAGCAAGTTAGTTATTTTTCTCAGGTCAGTATTGCATAACACAGTCCTACAATTGACATTTTCTTCAGTTTTTTCAGCGTTTAACAATATTGCTACTTATTTAATTGGTTAGATGTATACCACCTTTTCAAGGCAGAGTTTGTGATGTACTAGGATAATGATTTAGGGGATCGACCAAGTTTGTACTTCTTGATACGCTCATATTCACTTTGTCAATTTAGCTATATATACTATGGGAATTTTAATTGGAAAAAGGGGTGTGGATGTGCTGTCAAGAATTTGAATCTGCACGGAAACAGGCCTTCTTTTGTAGTGTCATCTAGTGCATTCTTGTGTACAGCTAGTATATATATATTCCATGTGCTGAGTTAAGATTGATATCACATTGAGGTTTTACAAATAGTTAAATAATAATTGTCTGCAGGCTTCTCAAAGCCAGAGGAGAAGTGGAACTCAGAAGTAGAAGATGACCTGGATGGCTTAAAAGAGCTAGGACAGAGTAAATGGTCAACATATTTTGAGGATGACAGTGAAAAGTCTAAAAATACAGAGGAAAACACACATGCTCTTTCTGGCCTGGCCCAGACATATAGCACTGGACGCAAAAGAGTCAGTTGGGGTGATCGGGTATGCTTATGTTTCAGTGTGAACATTATATGTTGGCGCTCTTGTACTTTGTTTGTGCTATTTTCTCAAAATAGTTGGGTAGTTATCATCTTTATTGAAATGTGCTTCTAACTGCTGAGCTAAAACATATATATAGTTTACTAGTTGGACATATTTGTTCAGTTATTTCTCGCATAATATGGCACTTCAGAGATAGAACTCAATGGCCAAGCTTATGTCATAACTACACTGTTTCTGTTGACAAGTGCTCATCCTTCATCTTATATACTTTTGCAGTTTGAAAAGGGTGGGTTTTCCATTTCTGCAACTAAAAGAAAACTTACTTCGTCACTAGTCATAGGGCCTGGATCTGGGTACAATTTGGTAAGTATCGACTCTGCCAACTTTTTGACATAAGGTTGCCACTAGTCATAAGGTTGTCTGAAGACACAACATATATAATCCCTTCAGATACACAAGACTGAATTTCTGATGTTAATTTATTATCTTGCCCATCAGGCTGTAGCATATTACTACCATGGTCTCGTACTCGACAAGGGCAGTGAACCGGCCAACCATATCAGCGCAGTCTGCTGCCTCTCTGCAGCTGATGACCTACTTTCAGACAGCAAAAGGGCTTGCTTGAGTTTCTGCTTGGCAAATCCTGTCACAAGGTCTGATACTACATTACTACTCCAACATAGCTAATAGGTTAAATTAATCAAAATATGTGCTGACGGGATCTTTTACTTATTCAATTGTACGTAGGGTACCTCCTCCTTGTGGTGTCATGAAAAACATGCACACAAAAATTCCAGATGTCGCTTACAAGAAGTTTCAAGTGTATGGGCATCTGTTTGAGCAAAACAAGAATAGGTAAATCCCCATATCCCAGGACCAACTCTACATCTGAAATGGCAAATTTTACAGTTGGAAGGTTGTTGTTTGTTGATTCTAATTGCTTTTGCCCAAAAACAATATTCAGAGCATGTTGAAAATTGAAATGGTAGTCTCCTTGAATTAGGCTCAAGAACATAGATGAACAATCTATATCATTCATATTTATTGTTTTGCTCTAGTGGTAATTTCACTACTTTCCTGGTGCAGCACACTTCAATCGGTTCGTGATCTACCAGAGTTTGCGCTGTCACTGAGACCGGAAGGATACGAGTTGCCAAGCACTGATTCAATCTGGGAGAATGTTAATGGCCAACCTCAGATTCAGAGCCTCAAGGCGCATCTGAAGGATGGCGAAGATGAAGTAGATTCAAAATGATAGTTCTCACTTCCAAATGCTTCCTTTCATTGTACCACCAAACGTAGCAGAAGTTATACTCTAGAATTCAAAATGCTTAATCCAAAATGGTTATGAATGTAGCAGAAGTTGGTGTATGTATGGAAGATCTAATATATTATTTATACAAAAATCAAGTGAATTTGTTCAATGTGATGCCTTCTATATGAGCAAAAGTGGATTTATCAAATTATTTTAATTGTAATTATATCTATTCAGTTTTGCCGACAGTTTTTTGGGGCAGGGTTTGGTTTGTAAAATACCTTGGAAATGATTTGCCCAACATACAAACTGTCGGCAAAGGTCTTAACTGTCGGCGTAGGTCTTAACTGTTGGCAAAGGGTTAACTGTCGGCAAAGGTTTCAATTGTCGGCGTAGGTGGACCGTTTGCCTACACATAAAGTGTCGGGGATTCTGTTAACTGTCGGCAAAAGTTTCACCGACGGCTTCTAGCGCGACTGTTTCTAAACTGTCGGCAAAACTTTTCGCGGGAGGTTATCTGTCGACAAAGGTGCCCTTTGCCTACAATAGAAAGTGTCGGCAAAAGTCTGTTGTGTTATAGTGGAAAGAGTTTAGAGAATAATTGATTGTATTCCCTGTCAATGCATGAGTATATATGGCCGGGGGTGACTCACAAGCCAAACCGCACAGGCGTGTACATGCCACTAATCAAGGGCAGCCTACTATAATTACACATGCTAAAATTACAATAGGCTAACATTCAGATTGACTAATGTGCCCATATCAACTAGATTAGAGATCCTGTGGCTTACTTCCTAATTTTTCTAACAAAACTCCCTTTATATTAAAAAAACACCTAACGGACTTGTTGTCTTGCTTCGTTTGGGCTTATGTCATCAGACGTCCCAACTCCGAATAAACAAACAACCAAAACAATTTGTTTATTTCCATCTCCATGCACGTAGACCATTAAGAAAGCGTGGTGATGCACATGGACTCTGAAAACGCATCACCTCGCAAATCCACAAGGAAAAGTCTCCGACACAAAATCCTTTGCAGTGGCTGGAGACCACGTCTTTCAAATCCAAGTCTTCGCGATGGACTCCCACTGCTGTCCTTGCAAGTAACCATGCAAACGCTGCTACCTTTTTGTATACTCGTGTGCAACCCCATGTACTACTATCTTGACGACTTGACTAATCTCTTGGGCCAGCTGGTTGTCTTAACCAATCTCTTGATGGACTAATAATCAGCTCATTCAATCAACCCCATTACTGAGACTGACTCACCAAGTGCCAAATAAACCTCACAGAACAGGTCCATTTGTATCTTTAATTTGCCTCCATTTAAGTTCATCATCCGAGGCAGCGGTCGTGGAAGGGGGGCGATGCTGAAGTCGACGCAGTCAAGGCCGTTGTAGATATAGAAGAAAGGCGACGATGCAATTGAGGCAGACGGGGTGGGAACGGGAGGGTCGATGCTGAAGTCGATACAGTCAAGTCGCCTGAGTCGAGGCGTGGGTTGGGTTTGCCAGACCTAGCAACGTGTCGGGGACAAACGCACACACCGATGTTGCCAATACCGGACGTACAAGGTAGAGGGCACCAACCATGCATCAGCATCTGAGGGACCAGCAGAGAAGGTCTCGACGACGCATTACTACACAAAATCTTTTACACAATGTTTACCAAATGGGCTCCGAGGCGGTTGGCCTAGTTGCCGTCCCGGTTATTCGAGGCAGGGTAGCCAGGCTAGCAACCACCTCGGTTAATCCTTAACCAAGGCGGGCACTATAGCGAAACAACCTCGGTTAATGCTTATTAACCAAGACTGTCGCCCTAACGTAACCGCCTCCGTTAATGGATTAACCGAGGCGATTCCGTTAATCATTATTAACTGAGGCGGTTGGCTTAGGGCAACCACCGCGGTTAATCGATTAACCGCGGTGTTTGTTCTAAAGCTATCGCCTTGGTTAAGTCTGGGCTATAAATACAGCCGCGCCCACCCTTCTTCCCCATGGCTCCTCCTCCATTTTTCGGGTTTTGACCTCAAAACCCTAAAGAGTGTACATTTTCTAGGGGGGAGGTTTTGCCCTTGGATTTGTTGAAGGGGGGCACCGCAAGAATGAATGTAATATATGTTTGTCATCTATTTTCTACGTTATTTGTGTTTTTATTAGAGAAATTCAAATTTAAATTAAAATTCTAATTTGAAAAAGAATTTTTTAAATCTGGAAATTTAACCGAGGCGGGCAATTAATAACAGCCGCCTCCGTTAAAAGTTTAACAAAGGCGGGCGCCTTTAGCTAACCGCCTCGGTTAAAACATTAACCGAGGCGGGCTCTTTAGGGCAACCGCCTTAGTTAAAGAGCCCGCCTCGGTTAATGTTTTAACCGAGGTGGTTGGCCATCCGCCTCAGTTAAGGCCACGATTAACCGTGACTTTTGCACCAAGGCAGTTGGCTTGCCCGCCTCGGTTAAGCCAAAATGCCCGCCTCGGTTAAGATTCATGTAGTAGTGACGATTGCGGTGCGTAGAACAACAGAGTAGAAGGCGTAGCAGGGGCGATGCCAGGTTCAGCTTGCCGAGTGCCCAGGCGCCAGGGTAACAAAAGTTTTACCACTAACACTACCGGAGACTGTGTAGTTACCGAGTGCCCCGACAATTACCGAGTGTCAGAAGTCGGGGCACTCGGAAAACAATATTTACCGAGTGTCAACACTCGGAAAACAAAAACACCCGGTAGCAGACCGCTTTACCGAGTCCACACACTCGGTAACTTAAGACAATCGGTAAAACTATAAGTTTACCGAAGGGGCGCACTCGGTAAAACTAGACACTCGGTATTGAGGTGCCACGTCACCTAGGATAGCAACCGTCGCCCGAGCAGCGTCACGGCATGACATGTTTACCGAGTGTTATGAGCGTACACTCGGCAAAAATCACGGTAATGACTCCACCAGTAAAAGCGCCCATAGCAAAAAAAAAAGACCGAAAATGTTTTACGAAAGTGTCTTTGCACAACACTCGGTAAACACTATCTTTACCGAGTGTATTGGCGCAACACTCGGTAAAATTCAACCAAATTTCTTGTTTTTCCCTTCATTCTTTTTCCTCTATCCACATATGATATTTAGTACTCCATTCCAAAATATGGTGTTTATTTGATTTATTTACTATATTTCACAAAATTTTCATTCTTTATGAAAATTAGGTACATATCGTGTAAATTTAATTGTAATAATTAAAATCGAACTCGATAAATCACGAGATTGGAAGAATTAACATTGAAGCATACATCTATGTTATAGAAAAAAATTTCATAACGTTTTGGAAGTATTTTTACATTCGTCATTTTTGCCGAAACGGTACATCTCCCAAAGAGACGCTAAACATTCACAATGACGAGTAGGATTTCTATTAAGAGTGAAATTCAACAATATGATTTGAACTTGGAATTTTTAGATAGTAAATAGATGACATGAAATAGTTCATGTGAAAGTTTGGTGAATTTTAGGATTAAATTGGCATTTTTCTTTTTTGTTTTGCATGAAATAATGGATACTTTTACCGAGTGTGACCTGAAACACTCGGTAAAAGGTTAGCCACTGCCCACCCATCGCCACACGGTGGGCTGCCATGCTTCTATTTACCGAAAGTGCCGCAGAGATCTGGGCACTCAGTAAACATGAGTTTACCGAGTGCCGTACATCCAGGCACTCGGTAAACAGAAGCATTCAACACAGCCGTTTCTCCCTCAAATCGTGCACAGACGCACACACACACACCGCACACGCCTCCCCACCGCCGCGGCCGCCTCCTCCCCTCCACCACCGCCGCCACCGGGCGGTCCCCCACAGCCGCCGCCACCGGAGAGACGGAGAGAGAGAGAGACGGAGAGAGAGACAGCGGCACCGGCGCACCGGACGACGATCCCCTCCGCCGACGCCGCCCCGTGCTCCCTCCTTCGCTCCCGTTCCCGCGAGGTGGGGTGGGGTGGGCCCCAGCAGCAACGGCGGCGGCGAGCACTCTCTCCCCTCCACCACCGCCGCCACCGGGCGGTCCCCCACAGCCGCCGCCACCGGGGGAGGGCGGTCACCCGCCGCCACCGCGGGACTGCCGCCGCCGCGGCCGCCTCCTCCCCTCCAAGCTCCGGACCTGCTCATCTGCTGACTGAAGCATTGCTCTCAAACGCTCGGTAATTTCCTTGCAATCGTACAATAGATCCCTTGCTTTTGATAAAACTTGGCCCATTGCTTTGATTCTATCCGAAGCACTGCAAATTAGAGAAGAGATAAATCAGTAGAGAAAGAGAAAATATTCAGTGGTTGATGGATGCTGTTATCTTGTTCAGTGCTGTTGCCCAATTGAATAGTCGCTTCACAAAACAAACTTCATGTTCAGATCCTCTCAACTGTAGGATTTCTATTTCTTGAAGGTTAATCAATGAAAGTTTCTCGATTTTCCAGTTTGATTGTTGAGCACAAACACAACCCGGTGGGCATGAAGTTTTACCCTGACAAGCAACATATTAGCATCATAAGTTTAACATATAACACCGTATGGAATAAAAGGAGAGGAACCTTAAAATTACCAGAATCACAACAGTTCTTAGGCCCCATTTGAACCATTTGGATTCTGAGAATCCACATAGAAAAATTCCCAAAATCCTAGTATCTCATCAAACAGTCTTGATTTTAGAGGGATTTTCACTCATAGATATTTAAAATACTCAAATCCAATAAAACTGTTGTGATTCTTTTTATCTGGATTCTTAGAATCCGATGGGATTCAAACAACACCTTAGAGATGTGTCATCAAGACATCAACATCTGTGAAAAAATTCTTCTACTGAACACTCATCTTTTCTTGACATACATGGAGTGTGATCATGTTGTCAATAAGTTAACCGAAAAGCCTTGCGACCAAATCTTGCTAGGCATTTTGCTCCCATTTCGGAATTGAGGATCTCCAGCATGGAGTAGAGTTGTTGGAGCATGTGCTACAGCTGTGCTGTGCAATGTGCATCTGCATCCGAGCCGAGACTGCTTTGCGCCTTTGACTCCAAAGTCCAATGTCCAATGTCCAAAGGGGGCCAACTGGCCATAGTAGTATTAGTATTTAGGAGTACTCCATTTATAGTATATATAGTAATATAAATCCGGCATGCATCAGCAAAAGGAATTGGAGCAGCAAAGAGCCTGCGTTTTTTTTTTTTGACATCCATCACTATACACAGTAAGTACATGCATACGTACTCCTCCGACTGGCAGTAACCAAAAGGTTGACCACTGTTAGTCTGTTACAGTAACCATCCGTGTTTACCTTGTCCAACCGAAATCATGAGACAGATAGGCACTCACGGATTGAGAAATGAGATAGGCAAGCAGCAGCAGCTTCCGGGCGGTACTGTCGGAGATCCCCTCCCCTACCCGGATGTTGACGTGACGGGTCCAGGGTCCCGGGTCCGTCCGGTCAAATGCGTGTTGGTCCGTGAACATGGCTCCAAATGCAAGTGCAATTCAGATTTCAGGGACGTCCATAGTCAGCGAGGCTAAAGTTTACCTCGGGGCATAAGGTTATCAAATGAAAGTGAGGAAAGCTTTGACAGAAGACATACCAAAATCTTACCTTTTCCTAACTTTTATTGTGATATCATGATTGAGCCTGCCCTGCTAAAATTCAATGAACTTGCAGTACAATATACCATATATTTCAAACAGACCGACTAACTAAAAAAGACGCTTATTTCCAGCACAGGTACTAGAAAAGAAGTGCTTTGATAATGAGATACATATACCATATGTTTACCACGGTTAAACTTTGAAACTAACATAGCGGCCTTTCAACCTTAGGTAAAATCTCATCATCCAATCTAGCAAACATCTTCTATGTGAATCGACCAAGAACATGAATGTCTCTTTATCATCTCATATGGTTTTTCTCTAGCACTACTACTCTATTGCTCTAAACTGCAATATTTCTCTAGAACATGAATCGACCAAGAACATGAATGTCTTCTGTGCAGGGCAAACTACCCCGGGATGGTGAGGATCGATGGTGTTGTGCAGCCCGCCATGAAGTGGTCCCACTGGCACGCCGCCAGCGATCAGACTGATCGAGCTGGCAGGTGTTATAACAGCAAGGCCGACCGGGTGATGAAAGAGCTGTGGGTACGTGTTCATCGCACTATGCTGATAATAACATCACATTAATTGTATATTACTGACTGTATTTGCTTGTAGGATTACTACACCTTGGCGGAGGGAGTACGTAGGGAGGACGCGGATGACGTGGTGAAGCAGTCTCATGTTCACCGAGTGCAGGACCTCTTCTACGAGACAAAGCTCTGTGCTGAGAAGAATTTACCATGCCCGCAGAGGAAATAGAGTCACCAGAGCATAGGCAGTGCACCTGCCCCTAACTAAGGAGCAATACTTGACGGTAAACATGAGATTACATCGTCTGTGATTAATTGCACTGAAATTGATTTATGATTTGTCATGTGCTCGTACGCGGCAGGTGCCTCTGCTTGGTGTGCGGGGATGGACAACTCTTTGGGAGGCCATTGTGGACACGTGGTTGAGTGAGGAGTACGAGCAATATCACGCCCGTATGCTCACGTTGCGTCGTGCGATGATGATGCAGGTTCCTCGCACAAACAAGGGCCCACTACCCTCAAGGAATATGCAGCCAGATATGTACGCTGGATTTCATTTCGTTGTTGCTACACTAACTTCTGAATGCATAATATCTTATTGTTGTGCTTCTTCCTGCAGACGCGGTTCCACCCCGGCCAGGAGTGCGCCTCGTTCAAGGCATATGCCTTGGCACACAAGGGCAAGGCAAAGGACCCCGACCTCGTCTACAACCCGGAGGACCCGCCCGAGGCATACAGTAACCTGAGCGTGCACAGTCGCCTCAGCGAGTACACGGCGATGGCGAGAGAGATCCATGGGCCAGAATTTGATCCGAGCACCGCTGACCTCGAGGGTGACATCGTCATGAGGTTGGGACCAGGTAAGCCACACGGGAGGTACTATATGGGCAACAACACCATAGACACGGCCAACACTCAGACACTCGAGCCCGGCCATACGCCCACGCTCACAGCCCCAGGTGGTAGCACTCCAGGTTAGTTCTGTTGCATTCGTTGTCCATTCATTTTCTACCCGTTCTTTATTTGCATTCTAACTATGTGATAAATAATTGTAGGCCCAGATTGAAGCCCCGCAGAGTCACAAGCCAGGCCTCACAGAGCCAGGCCAGCCCTCCGGCTATCGCGACCAGCCGAGTTGGCTGAGGAGAGGGCGCGAGTGTGAGCCCGACTTGAGGCCTTCCAAAGTGATCGCGAAGAAGGCCTGCACGCAGTACATGGCCAGCTTTTCTCGGAGCATGGGCCAACCTCCACCGCCTCCGCCTCCGCGCCGCCGATGATACCGTTGGTGCCTCCATCTCCATGACGGCAGGCACTCCTGTGAGTCACTCTTCATCTTGAAAGGCTTTTTCGATTCAGATTGTGCTACTGATCCAACACTATCATGTTAGAACCTAGAAGAGAGTAGGATACATACATGTATAAGTTAGATTATTAGTAATATTGTTCAGACCTTGAAAGGCATCATGTTAGGTTCTACATGAGTACATAGGTGTTTGCCCAATTCATGTTCAGATCTACTCGACCATGTGTGACGATATCTTGCACATAGAGGAGAACTAAACAACAACTAACTTGATATGTGTTATCTATTATATGCCTATATATTGATGTCCTTTGTTAAGCTGGTCTTTCGAAGGAATATTTGAATTTGGCATACTACCTTATGATTAATTGACAAATATGTTTATTTTCTTTTGCTCCCTCATTCCAGGGACCTTCTCACAATTTGGATCGAACAACGATCAAGACTTGGACTTGTCTCCGTTTCTCGGTAGGGCTCCGACCATGTGACGGGACCATGTTTCACTTGTTTGTATGTTGAACTTAGAAGTGGGTTGAGCGTTGTGGACTTTGGACATGTTGATGGTGTTTGTGGACTTTGCATTGTGCTTGTGACATTTGTTGTAGCTATATGTTGGTTATAATGAGTGGATGTGACATTTGTGGACATATATGTGATATATATTGTCTATCTGTTGGTAGCTGTGATATTCTGTTATAATTGTTGTTAATTGTGGCTGGATATGCACTTGAAACAACAAAAAAAATCTTGTGGACAAGTTTTTTATCGAGTGTTACACTCGGTAATGGTGATGTTTATCGAGTGTTACACTCGGTAAAAGCAGAGAACAGAACCAAATTGGTTCTCGATTACATTAATTTTGCCGAGTGTGCCATTTTTACCGAAAAGTGCTAACGACCCCACTCGGATATATGTGCCATTTTTTATCGAGTGGAACACTCGGTAAATGAGTTACATGTTTACCGAGTGTTACCGGTACACTCGGTAAACTATATTAGGAAAAAAAATATTTGCGGAATTGTTTTAATCATGAAAATGGTTATATCATTTACCGAAAAGTGCTATGTCTAACACTCGGTAAGCGACGCCGATAACGGCAAGCTTGGGGATGACGACCGTCACACGTCGTAGTTGTTTCTTGAGTGCGGCGTAGCACTCGGTAAAATTTATTCTCCAGTGCCCGTTAGTTGACACTCGGTAAACTAACTTTACCGAGTCGTTGTTTACCGAGTCATGTTTACCGAGTATGGCACTCGGTAAAAAATTTACCGAGTGTTTATCCATATTTGCCGAGTGTTTATCACACTCGGTAATTAATCAGTATCCCGTAGTGTAAACAGCTTCAAATTTATCATATATTTTAAGAGAGTTATTTATGCCATTTGAACTGTGCACCAGGGTCGTCACTGGCTTCGCCCCTGAGGCGTAGCACGCGGTTGTCAGAGTAGATGAAGTAGGTGGGGACGAGAAGGTGACGCTGACGGAGTTGTTGTGTTGTACGAAGAAGTAGTGCAGGAGCGGACGCGTCGAACCCGAAGGTGAGTAGTCCGGGCGGGAGCATCGGTGGCCTCGCTCACAGGGGTATCGGCGGCCTCGCTGTCACAGGTAGCACTCCAAGTTGATGGCGAAGACCTGATCAGCAGGACAAAGACCTTGTGGGGACAGCTGGTGCAATAAAGATTGCGTAGCACAGCTGTCGATGCACAGGGGATGGCAATGTAGATGCAACAGCGTAATGGATGCACGGGCGCCAGTGCTGTGGCCGGACAAGGCGACAGAGCAGCAAGCCAACAGCCCTGTTGCTCGGAGAAGATGTGTAGAACTCAGCAATGGATGTCACGGGAGCCGGGTGGATCGCCCATAATCGGTTGTATGGACCAAGTACGCGCGAGGTGCAGCGACGATGGAAGTCAGCGGAGGCATCCTGATTTGCGGTGGCGATGACGAACCGACGATGTAGACGTGCGGACTGAAAGACCGTGAAGCAACATAGGAATGCCCCCGCCAGTCCGCACAGCCAAAGATGTAGATGCAGGTGAAATCGATGCCGATGCCGAGTAGTACGCGCAGAGGTCGACGGGCGGTGGGCAAATCCGATCCGTGATTAGGCAAACTAGAAAGATACAACAACAACATCTCATGTAGGAGCTCTGGGTGCACGTAGCAAAACACCGCCTCTCATCCTCTTATCTCTTCCCATCTCTTGGTCAAACCAGGGAGAGGGAGAGAGACAAAGAGCAGAGGGGCAAGTGGCACTGGTGGGGAAGCGAGGACATGTGGGAGGCTGACTTGGACGAGTGGGCAGGGTAGGAGCCGCACTGCCACGCTCGACCACCACCATGGTCGCCGCAAGCGAGGGAAAGGTGGCCCCTGGCTGTCGCCCAGACGCAGCGGTGAGCATGACCAGCCACTAGCACGAGGCGCGTGGGCTGGCAGATCTGGTGTCACACCCCAAAATTTCTAATTTTGGGTTGTGCATAGAAAACACTAATTAAAATAAATGTTTTGATATTTGGATAAAATTTACCGATCTTAGTTTGAACTAGCGTAAATTTAGTTATAGGAAAAATGTGAATTTTCAAACTTTTCATAATTAATTTGATGGGCTATTGCTTGATGTGATGCTTGGTTGTTGATTTATTTCATGTTGTGAGAAAAGATTTTAAAAATACGTTTAGTAAGTCGATCTTCTTTCTCCAACAATTCTTAGTCTTTCTCACCGATCAAATTCCTTGTTTTCCAACTTAATATTTGCTTGAGAAGTATCCTAAAATCTTTTCCATGAAATCCAAATCACCTTCGGCTTTTTCCGGAACTTGTTCCCACTTGTTTGTGAGCATATTCTAATTTTTAAATGCTCCAAAATATCTTTTCATGAGCTCCAAATACTTTATTTGGGTTTGTCTTGTTCTAAAATATCTCTGAGAATTTTCCCTGAATTTTCGAAGCTTCGGAGTATTTTTCGTGACTTAAAATTTAATTCTTGACTTTTCTAGAATTATTTTATCCATGAAATTAATTCCGAAAATAATAAAATATCTCATATTTTCTCATGCCCAAAGGCCCATGTCTTTATTTATTATTGAGCTTTAATAATTAGGCCTATTAGTAAAGGTGGAGGGTGCAACATCAATTAGTACTATATTGCTAGTTGATATAGATGTGGGAAGTTCTCCGCCCTATATATATGTACCAATACCTTGAGCAAAACATCTCATAACCATTGTAAAAGGAGCCCCTAGTTTGGGAATTCCTTAAAAGTCTTTTCTCTATACTACGTCGTCTCCAACGCCTTGCAACTAATAAACGTTGGTCACCTCAGGTCGCCATGGCAGCCTCCGTGTCGTTCGCTGACACCTTAGTTGGCTCTGCAGCCGCTGCCACCTCTTTAGGAGCCAACGTTGCTGCCATCACCACATCATCTACATGCATCTTGGTGTGAACCATGCTGCTGGTCTCCATCACGTGAGGAGAAGACCATACGAAGCACTTGGTTGCCGCCTCTATGTTCCGCCCTGCCGCCTGACGTCGTTGTACGTCCTGTCTTTGAGACATGGTGAGCTCTTGCACACAAACCCTCTTTATCTTGTCTGTTCGCTTGTCCGGTCGCTGATTCTCTTGCTTATGATCACGTACGCTAACCATGTAGCCTATGTATTATGCAAGCTACATCCCTTGCTTCTTATATCCAATCTGCAGTATGCACGCACCTACCACGTGCTTGTCGCCATGGCTGGCTGTGTGCTCTCCCTGCCCGAGCAGGTGAGGAAGCCAAGTTTGCTGACTATCGAGCTCCAATGGAAATCTGCCGACGTACATCCATCGCCCCAAGGAAGCCAGAAAGAATGCCACTTGTCATCTTGCCTCGGCTTGATCGAGTGTATGTACTAGTCATCCGTCGTCGTCTGCTCGCAGCTGGATCTCCGTGCTCCAAGAATGCTCCAGCTCGATCGTGTGACCTTCACCACGTCCAGCCATTGGTGATTCCATCAGTTCTGTTGCTGAGAATTCGAAGTCCAGCATCCTTTCTTGTTTTGCCTTTATGTTAACCCTGCTTTCTCACGATCCTGTTTCGTTAATTATTTTTCATACATCTCCACGTACAGGTAGCAAGTTGCCGAGGCCGTTGTTTAGCTGTCTAACATGTCCATCGCTGATTGATGCCGGTTCATCCCGCTCTCTGATCGATGTCACAATTTTGCTGCCCGGCCACACGGTAGGCTATAAACTCCTCCCTTTTTGTACGTATATCTGTGAATGTCATCTCCGATCATCACTAGTGTTCGCTTGACTGCATGCCTCCGTATGTCAAGCTGTCAGCCGAAGTCCAGCCCTGTAACAGTCCATCTCTTTCAGAAGTTAAACAAGCAAGCAATTGGCCAATGGGAGAATACCTGTCCACACTTATACTTTCTTGTAAGCCTTTATCTATCCTCCTTTAATCCTTCGTTTTCACATCTTTCATTTTAGTTCAATCTTGTTGCGCTAGTGTTGACGTGAATCGGTTTGTTAGTGTCAACATTTTTCATGTCACATGCTTTTAAAAGTTTTATAAATTAAATACTAATTTGATTAGTGTGCATGCTACCAATATTCTGAAATAAGAGCAAACATAGGTTCTGCACCATGGCATTTCATAAACAAAATATTAATTTGCTTAATTGCTAATAAAAATATGTTTTTAATTCTTCTTAGCTCAAACATGCATTACATATAATCGGAACAGATGTTCTCACGTGTCCTTTCATCTTTGAAAATTTAAGTATAATTTGACTTAAATTATACATCTATATTTATTAATAAAAAAATGACTAATCCTAACTCGACTTTTGGATTAAACATGATTTGACTAATCTGAATTAATAAACTTCACATGGTTTTGTTTAGCTAAAATAAATCAAGCATGGAGGTCCTTCTTTTCTTTTATAATATAAAACTCCCGGACGTCGTTTCTTGTTCATCGTAGTTCCGATTAGAGTGTTTCTCGTGTTTGTGTGATCATAGCAACGCGTAAGTTGGTTTTCAAACCTTTTTATTGATTGGTGCATTGCTCTAATCTACTATGTTTGCAATGCATGTTTGTTCGGATGCTTGTGTGGTGCTTTATGATCATATGTCCAGTCGGTGAGCTTTGCGTGATGTTCGAGAAGAAGTTTGTGATCTAGAAGCTGCTGGTTAGGAAGGAAGAAGTTCTTTGAAGATTTAGACTTGAAGAAGGATCTCTGTTTGAGGCAAGTATAGCATGGGATCATCCTTGATGTCCTATTCACTTTAACCACTAAATTTCATATGCATGTGTCTACCTTGATACCCTTTATAGGATTCCCTAGAAATTGTTTACTGAATACCTTGAAACCTCGGGATATATGCATTTGGGTATTACTTTTGCTAGCGCTTAACATTGACCATGATCTTGATACTTGATTAATAATTGAGCTATAAACTATAAAAGATGACTTGTTAGCAACAACAGGAGGGTTAAATTCCCTCTCCACAAGGTCTCATTTGTAAGTGATCGTCCGAGACTTACAGTACAGCTGTGAGGGCTATATGGCTCTGGCTTTAGCTCAGTATGAGGTCTTTTTCTAGCTGGCTTAGAGGATACTGCGAATTGGGTATAGGACAACCTTTGTCCTGTTGAGCCTAACTATGGAAGCGGCCTTTTATTTTTTGGAAGGGGGGTTCCTATATCCGATGACCCTGCGGCCCTTCCTGGTTAGACGGAACCTTTGAAAGGCTTCATAGTGAACCCTGCCGGCCTTCCTTGGTAGAGGGTTAAGAGGCTCGTGACCTCGAGCGAAAGGGCAATTCACGACTCACAGTGAAAGTGTACACCTCTGCGCAGAGTTTAATCAACTAATATATCAGTCGTGCTCACGGTCACGAGCGGCCAAGGGATTCTTACGCCAAAGATGAGCACTTGTTTAATTATGCTTAACTGAGTTGTTTTGAGCTATTTATTATTCATGTTCATTGATCATGTGTTAAGGGAATATTGTGCTACCTTGTTACTAATTAATACTAAATATGACTATCTACTTAAAAGTTAAATGCAGTTTAACCAGTGTCAGCCTTTTGAGCCTCATAAACCCCGTGTTATATATGCTGAGTTCGATATGGACTCACCCTTGCAATTTCCCCCACACCTCAGGCTGGATGACAGTCTGTCAGAGACTTGAGAAGTTGGGCTTGTGGTCAACCAGTCAGTTTGGATCCAGTGGAGTGGAGTCTACACCCGGAGACCGGAGTTGTTTATCCGTTGACTGTTCCTAAGGTTATATCTTTTATACTATGTACATTATGTTATTAAGCATTGTTATTTGATATCACCCCTCATTTGTAGCTATATGTGAAATTTGATTCTAAAGACTCACATATGGTGTGCATCAGATTTTGTCCTTAAAACCGGGTGTTACATCTGGCCGACCACCAGCCAGTGCCGCAGCCGCCGGCGAGCGGCCCCGCCTTGAGCCGCCGCGAGCGACACGGCAGCCGCCCGCTCCTGGCCATAGCCGGCCATTGCCTGATCCCCCTCTCCAGCGGGCGCATAGGCGGGCGCTCTAGGCAGCGCCGGCAGGTGAGGCGGGGCCCGACAGGGAGGAGCCTTGGGATGGGCAGGTGCTGTGTAGCACCAGCGGCGAGGTGAGACGCGATGCCGGATGGGGACCTGACAGGGTGCCAAGGCATGACCTGGCGACGAGAAGGTCGATGCTGGGATGGCCAACCGACGGACAGCGACACTGGTGAGATCCATCATGATCTGGTGGTGCTTGACGACGACGATGGTAGCTAGATCAATTGGATCACGTGCCTAAACAGTGGCGCTGCCCCGACGTAGATCGATCTCTCACCGAGAGCGCGCGGTGCGGAAGCGGCGGCGGCTAGGGTGAGGATGTAAACCTAGGCGAATGATACCATGTAAGTGTGGGAAATTGGAGAATGCTTGAGTCCATTAATCACAATGCCTGGTCACCATGCCTAGAAGTAAGGGGGGGAGATCGTAACTCATTAAACTAATGGCTAACAATAGCCTATCTATTGTGGGCCAGGTCGCAATATACTCTAACAGTTACGAGTGTGCAACTATTGCAAGCCGCACTGCACCTAGACTTCAGACTTCACCATGCCTGATGTATGCAGCTGTACACAACGTCCGAGCAATCTCAGTTGATCTGCTCTTCTTGTGCAAGTGCGGCCCAGATGCTTTACACTTACAGAGTACAGAGTAATTACCACTCTTTACCATTGTTGTCTTATCTCTATCATCTCATTGGTTTGTCAGTAAAACAATTAATCAGCCAAACAATAGTGACAAAGTTTGTAAAAGCCGAATCAATCAAACTAATTAATGTACCATGGACCAAGCAGTTCTAACCATCAAATTTGGCTATCATGTGTCCGTTTAAGTGCAAACTGAGCCAAATTTGAGCATCAACACCATGGCCCGGTGGCCGCTGACCACCAGTACCATATGACTGTAAGCCGTCAGTTGTGTAACTGCCTAGACCGGTCATGGCCGTTTCCATCGTTTCCACTCAACTAACCATCCTTCATTCTCGTGCCGCGCCTCCATATACAGTGGCCGCACGCACGTACGAAGCCACCAATCAGCCCCACAGCCACCTCGATCGATCCCCAGGCGAAGACGAAAGGACCCCAGCACCATGCTGTGAAGACGAAAGGCCCCTCCGACTCCAGCCGGCCGGCGGCGAGCCATATACGGGGGGCTGCGGCGGGGCCACCATGGTCCGGGACGACGATGGCGGCGGCGTGCGCGGCGACTACTTCGCCACGCAGCGCGCGCTGCTCCACTGTGCCCAGCACGGCACGGGTCTGTGCTCGCTCTGCGACGTCAGCGTGCTCGCCGCCACCGCGCCCGCCCACGAGCGCGCCCCGCTCTGCGAGACATGCCACGCCGTGCCCGCGCGCTGCGCCGACCACCAGGCCTCCCTCGGCACACCGTGCGCGCGCCCCGCATGGTGCAACGCCGAGCGCCACGCCAGGCGCCCGACGGGCTCGTACACCGGGTTCCCGGACCCCGCGAACCTCGCGCGTACCGTCTACATTGACGCCCCACCCGAGCTGACGCCGCTGCCGCCCACACCGGCGCTCCAGGAGCCTCCGGACACGTGGGTCAACGTTGAACTGCAGGAAGCAGATTTGCCTGGCAGCAGCAGCAGACCTTGCGACGAACAAGACATTATGATGAACGAGGCAAGTACCTATATAGTGGTTACATACGGCTTTGTTATAACATCGTGAATGCACTCTTCATTTTTCTTTGTTTCAGTAATTATGGTCGTTTTATTTTATTTTCTCTGCTCGCTTCATTATATTTTTTTCTCGAATTCTTTTTCTACCGATCCTTCGTTCCTATCACTATCACTAGCACATAAACAAGTTATACTTTCGGTTGGAAAACCCCTTCACTCCCGGTTTCTCACCTAGTCCCGGTTGATAATACCAACCGGGGCTAAAGAGGCCTCCCGGTCTGGCCACGTGGGCCGGTCCTTTAGTCCCGGTTGGTATTACCAACCGAGACTAAAAGTTTTTTTTTTTTTTCTATTTTTAATTGATGATTCGTTTTAATTTTCGAATAGGTTTTCGAATACGCATTCTACGCTGCTAATAATATACGTATTCTACATGTTTATAATGTTGGAACATTTTATATAAACTAAAGTATGAAACTAACGTATATATTACATGCATATACATATATTATACGTTATTTTATGTACATATAATATGTATATATATATTACAAATAAAGCTTGCATTGTATATTCTATCATATCCTTGGGATAACAAATTCACTCCATCTGGTTTGGCTTCCATATTTCATTCATGTCATTGTAGAACTCGATGGTGGGGTTTAGGACTTGGTCATTAAAAAAATCCTGCTATGGTCTCTTGAATTGCTTTCAGTTGGTCACGTTGTATGACTTTTTCCTTCAACTACAGAGTCTTCAATAAAAGTTAAAGAAAAAGTATTAATATATATATATATATGTGTGTTGGTCACGTGATTACTTATATATATGAGCAATAAAAGAAATTGTGAATATATGAATATATTTATATAACGTACTTTGAGGATCTCTCCAGGAGTTCTTTTTGAGTATGCCATGATGAACTCACAAACATAGTATCCGCAGTAGTTGTTCCCTGTTCTTGCCTCAGAATCCACTTTTACGAGAAAAAAGATCCAGTGAATTGAAAGCATGCATGGTGTTAATTGAATTATATATATATAAATGTAGCTAGTACTTACTTTATGTGCGATTATATCCAGTGGCGCTTTGCAATGTTTCATATGGTGTTCCTCAATGAAACTTTTTCAAACACTGCGCCCAATAAAATAAAAAATTAATTTAGCCTTTAATAATTATTGCAGTTAAGAGATCGGGGTATATATAGTTGCTAGAGAGACCAAATTAACCTTGGATAATATTTATCATGTCTTGGTACTCTGTTTACTCTTTTCTTAATGAGTCTAAGATGCTCAACCGAATATTGGCCACATCGATGACCAGCAATATCCTAGTGATTGTTGCATATATTTTTATAGATAAATATGATCGACATTAACTAGAGTCAACATATATATATATGGGAGATAGCTTAGCTAGTAAGCAAATAATTGAATAAATGTTCATATGATCGATATTAATTATTTAACACTCACTTGAAGTTGTAGGGGAAGAGTATGTCCTTGTTTTGTTGGTTCACTAAGAACCTCATGAGATTTTTCTCGAGTTCAGCTTTCCATTGAGGCGGGGGATCAAGGTGTTTGAATACGACATTTGGATCAACGAAATCAACATCATTATCCTTTCTCTTTCTGAGTTATGTCATCTCATATCTGCATATATAAAAATATACTGTGAGGATATATAATTTATATATATACATGTAGCTTTATATATATACACTTTAATAGTAGAAAATAATCATACTTACAGACAATAGCAGCTAATGAGACTTTTGTCGAGAGAGTCTAGGTGGCATAGTTGGTGTAATTCTAAAAACTCGACATATATAACGTCATCGCCACGGAAGTAATGTTGGTTTCTAACTCTGACAGAAACAAAGTTCTCTCCCCGTTCACACGCCGCCATGTACCACTTGTTTAGCAGGTACATTTGCGTACCTAGTTCACCTAAGGCCTCAGGGTTGTATAGACTCTTTCCATGTTCAAATTTCTTCCAAAGATCCACTTTCGGAGCAGATGGTCCTTCAGCGAGCACTTGGGCAAGGTCCAAACCAGTATCCTCGTAAAACCGAATCATGTCCTCAAAATCGACGTCCAGTAAGTCTAAGTTTAAACCATATTCATTACGAATGACAAGAGGGGGACTGATTGTTGTGATTGTTGTCCGAGTTGTGTAACATCTTTCCCTGCTCTAGTCTTTTTCTGCGCCGCCTCAAATGACTTGGTGAGACAGCAGTCGTAGTCCGATTTTGGTAGGGTCTTTTGAGATTTCCGCTTTTTCTGGTCCACCTTCTTTCTTAGAAGATCTAGAGGTAGGTAGAAGTACGGTTTCTCCGGGTTCTCCCTCGCTTCTCGTTGCTTTCTTACTTTTTTGAAGAAACTGTTCACATCTTTTTGTACTAAAGCGTTTAATTCCTTTTCACTTTTCTCATAAGACAGTTTTTGGGGAATAACTGGATTAGAGGAGGCTTTCTTCTTTGCCGGCTGGTGGGCCAACGGCTTCGTTTGCGGAGCGGACCTCTTAGGAGCTGACTGCTTCTTGGTCATCAAGAGAGGCGGGGCAGCCGTTGGAGACCTCCTTGGAGGTGGCGGCGGTGGAGACCTCCTTGGAGGCGTTGGAGACCTCCTTGGAGGTGGCGGCAGTGGTGGCGTTGTATAATCATTGCCAGGAGCACTATGATGATCTGGAGATTGAATAATTGGACTTAGGTTGGCGGAGGCCCTGCTGTGTGAGTACAAAAAAGAATAAGTAGGTATAAGAAATTGTTATTATTAATCATGCATGTCAATAGAATATTAGTGAAAAAATTGTTTCGTTCACTTTTGTCCGCACCTATTGTCTAGCAGTTGAGGAAGCGGCGGTGGACTAGAGACCCCGGGAATAATGACGTAGCGCTTGCGCCATAGTATGAATGTCTTCTCTGCTTCTCCTAGAGTCTTCTCCCCATCACCTCCTGGAATGTCAAGAGCCGGATCACTAAAACCTTTGTTAACTCTATCCACCGAGACGCTAACATATCCAGGTGGTATTATTACCCCTTGGATTCTTGGTGTCTTGGTAGGATCTGGAGGAGAAAAAACACCGAGAGCCACCATGATTGTGGCATTCTCTTTTTGAATATGTAGCTCACATGATGTAAACAGTGTAGTGATGTCATCCATGGGGAAACGTAGAATTGCGTCATCTTGATTTGGCAACTCCGTGGAAGCGCAGCTGCTTTTCAACTGATCAGGGGGGCTAATATTAATGTTGATTCCTGGATCTGATGCCTACCTTTGGGCACTCATTGCTATTTGCACTTACTTTATGATTTTGTCATGCATTCTAGCTTGCATGTCTTTTTCACGCTCCTGTGCTTGAAGCAACGCCTCTCGTGACTCATGAACATATTCCTCCAACCTGCTGATCCACGTTGCTTCCTCATCCTTCTTTCTCTGCCGGCTTCTGTAGGTATCTCTGTCGTTAGGGAAACCATGCTCCCAAGAAATGTTCCGTCCTAAACCTCTTGTTCGGCCACTGTGTTCAGCAGTCCCGATGGCATACGTCAGTTCATCCTTCTCTCTATTGGGCCTGAACGCACCAATAGCTTTAGCTTGTAGAGCATAAGAAAATCTTTGTGTTGCTCTTTCGAGTTTTGGGCCATGAACCAGCTTCCCGGTCTCTAAGTCAAGTCTCCCCCCATGAGCGAAAAACCAATTCTTCAGCGTTTGGGCCAATTGAGTGATTCTGGTGTGATACCCTTGGCAAGAATGTCCGCTTCCATTTTTCTCACTTGGAAATGGTAGTCGCGTAGCCACCTGATCCCATGCCATGGTGGTATACCTTCTCTCGGGCATTCTCTTGGTTCCTTCTCACCCATTTCTCACCCTCTTCCGAAGTCTTGTACTATATAAAATCATTCCAGTAGGGCCTCAACTTCGCGAGCGGGCCCCTAGTATTGAAATTGAGCGTTAGGTTCTTCTTAACGTATTTCGTGTATAGGGATTTCTTCTAAGTTTGGAATTGTGTGGCCATCTTCTTCATAGCCCACTTTCGAACTAGCTCATTCAATTCATCATCGTTGATATCATCATAATCATCCGCTTGCAATGTGAAATGTTGAAGGATATCAAAACAAATTAAATTCTTATCAATATTAGAGACAAAACTAACATGAGGCTCATTGATCTTTTGCTTCCATTCACGGGCACTGATCGAAAGTCTGTCCCTCACAAGGTAGCCACAGTGTTGCACGAATTTCTTTGCATGTGGACCAAGTGGTTCAGCTGTCTCGATATTGAATTCCGATATTATGTAGCGCCCCTCCAATGGTTTTTTCGGGCCTCAAATATTTTTGGTTTTCGCCGTTGTGGTTGTCGATCCAGAGGGCTACGTATAAAAAAAGAATAAATAAATATCATGTGTACACATAATAGATGATAGATATTCAAATATATATATAAATATATATACCTCGCTAGTATTTTCTTGCACAATATTTTCTTGGTTATCTTCAAGAGCCAGGTATTGACTCCCGTCATCTACATACTGCTGGTCACCATCGGCAAATTGAGTGCCGGTGTTGATAATATCCATCATTTCTTCATCCATGTTGTCTCTCGGGGCAGCCATCTAGCTTTTACACCACTAGATATATTTATAAAAAATAAAAACCATATATCTATAAAATGGATCGAGTCATGTGCTTAAAATTAATTAAATAACTACACTCGAAATTCAAGTCTCTAAAACATAACTTTGATTTCTTATTTTCTAGAAATATTTATTGGCAAGTGATATATATAACAAATTTATATATATAACAATATACATTTAAAACTCTCTAATATGTATAAAAAATATATATATATATAACAATACAAATTTATAACTCTCTAATATGTATGTATAACAAATTTATATATATAACAATATAAATTTATAACTCTAATATATATGTATAACAAATTTAGATTCGCGGTCCAAATTAGGCGATGCCGGCTCGCGGTGCGTCGGAAGGGTCGACTCCTGAAGGTGATGATGGGATGGATGGAAGCTTTAGGTTGC